AAGCTACCAAGATGAATTTGACCCAACTCTGGGAGGCAGTGGAAGAGAGGAGGGCCTGGCGTGCTCTGGTCCATGGGGTCATGAAGAGTCGGACACGACTAAATGACTAAACAACAACAATAATTAAAGAAACCATATGCAGTAAAATCAACATTTGTCTTCCTTCAGCACTTCCAGGAATTTGTTTTTCCAGCAAGGAAACATAGCAATTCCCTGCGGCACCAGCCAGTGTTTACAGACCTGTGAACACTACATGAACACAAGCTGTTGTAATGTAGGTTAGTGTTTCTTAAAAAAATTAAATAAATGCATAAATAAAATAGTTAAAAGTAGTTGTTGTTTAATCGTTTAGTCTTGTCTGACTCTTCGTGACTTTAAAGTATACTCTATGGCAATTGAAATCACCAAATCTAGAAGAGAATTTGAAGAGGCTTTCTAATGGGGAGAGATAGGGAGCCTTCAGATAATTAACAGAAGGGGAATAACAAGTGAAGCAGAATAGCCATGAGGCTTTGTTCCACATATCACATTACAATTTATATTGCTTTAGTTTTTACAATGCAAAATGGGTATGGAGTCAAGTGAACTTCAGACAAAAATAATGTATAGCAAGTTTTGTTGGTATAAGGAAGGAAGTTAATTTCCCCCAAGGATATCAACTTATTAACACACTCTTCCATTTTCCTGGGCTCTTTGGAAAAGGCATACTTTATTTGGGGGAATGATTATCAATTTTTTTCCTTTTCCACAGAAATCATACGAAGAGGCTTTCTCCTCTTCCACCTAGATAAACAGAAGGAGGAGGGCGCTATAGCTGAGAAAATCATGCAAGAACGGGATATAACACACATTCACACGTATTCCAAATTCTCATTAGTAAAGAGTGGGGTGATTCTTTCTCCTGCTCCTTGTTCTTGCCAACTAATATGTGATAGCTTTTCCAGGGCAAGAACAAGGTAGTTGAACCCAGAGAATAGGAAAGTTACTTTTTTTGGACAAGATATTTCAGAGGCCAGCATGTCAGGATCAACACGGTCATGGGGCATTCTGGGGGGTGTTGTACAAAAAAGTCATTTCCCCAGGCTCTGAGAGGGGACAAGATACAGTGGACCCTCTACTTACAGAATTAATCCGTATTGGAACGGTGGCTGCAAGTCGAAAAGTCTGTAGGTCGAATCTCCATTACCTACAATGCATTGAAAACCGATTAATCCCATAACTGGCAGTTTTTATTCTATTTTTGTTCCATTTTGGGTTTTTTCTGGTCTGTAGGTCGATTCTCCGTCTGCAAGTCGAATCTAAATTTTGTGGCCAGAGAAGTCTGTAACTCGAAAAGTCTGTAAGTCGAGCCGTCTGTAAGTTGAGGGTCCACTGTATTTCAGAGGCCAGCATGACAGGATCAACATGGTAATGGGGCATTCGGGGGGGGGGTGTTGTACAAAAAAAGTCATTTCCCCAGGCTCTGAGAGGGAACAGTCTGTTCTGAATGGCCACTGGGTTCTTCTAGAACAGGCTTCAGTCTTGACACAACACATCATACGCTGAAAGGAGGCAAGCCTATCCCAGGTGCAAGAGCAGCTGCCTGTCCTGCTTCTTATGTTGCACCAACCATCTCATAATGGAATCAGAACTAGGAAGGGCACAAAGATAATCTCAAGTGCATTTATCCTTCCTCCCACCCCACCTTTACACAGCATGATCAGTACAGCTTGCATATGTTCCTTTTTCAGGCTACAGTTTCCAGCAACCCTCAGCCAATAAGGGGTGTGTGGTGGTGGTGGTGGTGGGGTGGATCAGAGGAACAGTAACCTACCAAAACTCTTACAGATCTCTTTTTGTAAATGAGGTGATATAATAGAAAATTGAATGACCCAGAAGAAAGACCCCTGCGTGTTCTCTCTGAGTCATCCCCAAATGAACTTCAGTGACAGCCTCCAGAATTTCAAAAGCGAACCCATCTGACTGATCATGAATCTTTCCCAGCTCTGGGCAGAACATAGCGAGATGCTTCGGTCCTGTATCACCAGGCCATTCAACACCTCCGCAAGTTTTAAAACCCACTTCCCTAGGCCCTTAATAGCAGTAAAAACCCTGCAGGGCCGCGGGCCGCATGCTGAACTTCTTTTTTTAAAAAAAGAAAGGCAAATAAGACTCAAGACTGCTTTAAAAAATAATGCCATTGACGAACAGAATCTCCTCGCTTTTGAGTTCCAGAGGCGTTGGCTGCGAAGACGGGGCACTCTGCGCGTCCACAGACACACTCTTTTCCTCCCTCTTCAGTTTCCAATGGGTGTGTGTGTGTGTGTGTGTCCCTCCGTCCCGGGGAGGGGGCCCGGACAGGATGAGAAAAAGTTCAGTGCTTGAGGCGAACCCACGCTGGGCGCCTCTTTCCTCAAGCCCTTGGAACGAGCCGAGCTCCGGAGGGACAGGAATCACCGAACGGGGGCTGAAGTGATTCCTGTCCGATTCCCGCCCCTCCGGAGCTGGGCTCATTCCAAGGGCTTAAGGAAAGAAGCGGCCAGTGTGTGTCTTCTGACTGGTGCCCTCCTAATGGGCGCCCAGCCGAGGGCGGCTCGCTAGGAGGAGGAACCAGCCCCGGCTGCCTTTCCTACCTGCCTTGAGAGAAGCGGATTAAATAATTCAGAGTGCCGCTGGAGAGAGGGCAAGCGTCCCTCCCTTCCCCTCTCTCCCCCCCCTCCCCGCCACCTCCTCTTCTCTGCCTGCCTCCTGCCCTCCCATCTCTCTACCTACACAGTTTCCCAAACGCAGCGGGAATGAGGCTTGCGCTCAGGCAACACCCTCAGTTGCCTCTCGCCGGGAGAGCAGTGGGCACCATCGGGCGCAGCCTCTGAAGCCGGCCGGAGACACCATTCCCCGGCGCAAGAGCGGCTGACAGACACTGAGGGGGCTGGAAAAGACCGAGTGACCCGACGAGGACCCTCTATATCCCAACCAGGTCCTCCTCTCCGTTCTTCCTCAGCCGAGCCCAGGGAGCCAAAAAGCGCGGGAGACTTTTCGCGCGTGGAAGGGAAAGTGTGGGGCGAGAGCGCCTCGTATTCCACCGTCATGGACCCCAAGGATAGGAAGAAAATCCAGTTCTCGGTGCCTGCGCCCCCCAGCCAGCTGGACCCGAGACAAGTGGAAATGGTAAGCAGGGAGAGGACGAGGAAGTTGGGGTATCAAGGGTCTGGAGGGGGTGGGAGACTTTGGCTCGTGAATTCTGAGTTGGCACCGAGTCCCTGGAGTTCCTGAACGGCCAGTCTATCAGCTTGTCGTGCCAACAAGCTGTGTGTGTTTTTTTAAGACACATAGCCAGAAGTGTACACACATCCACTACACGCTCATACACACACGGCAGGAACATCAGTCTTTTGGATCAACAAGACACGCTGTAATCACTGAGGCTTAAGTATGGCTAAATGAGTCTCTCTAAATAGAACTAAAATTCTTAAATAGAACTAAAATTCTTAAATGTGTGCATTTTTTCCCCCACATCTGTGTCCACAAGGGCATTTTGGTGTGCATTCACAGTTTACTTGCGCGTGTGCCAAAGCTTATGATGTTTAATGTGGATATAAAAAATAAGCATGTGCATAGCTTCTCGTCTATGCACTGGTTCACCATTGATTGGATTGGATTTGCATCCTGAAGTTAGTCATGGCTAAAAAGGCTAAGAAATAAATTAGATTGATTTCCAAATCATCCGCTTAAGAGTATATATGTTTATATAACATGTCTATTGTACTTTGCCAGTTGTCTATAAATAGCATGAGCCATTCATATTCTTTTATAATATAGCATGCTGTTTTAATGCTCTTGTTTCAATATGTTTGTTTGGATCTGCTTTCTTGCAATTCTTACTTTTTTGACTCTGTTCTGGGAAGTTGGGGAAATGGGATGGCTAGGAGATTGGTGTAAATAAAATCAATTAAAAAATTACAAGACCCGATGTGTTTATCCTTACACCAACATTTAAATAAGTAAATATGGGCACTGACACACATACCAAAGAAACTGAACATGCACTAAAGTGTACTCCTAAATACAGATGGGGAAAATGCATCCAGACATTTAAGACTGCCTGTTTTCCTGTACCTACTCATAACCATGCAGATGTACAATACTCACTCCTGTATAGTCACACCTGCATCCAAGCATATTTGTAACATGTTTTTTCTCACGGATACACATACTTCTGACCATCCATGTTGTTAATGTACATGTACTGTGTTTTCCCGAAAATAAGACAGGGTCTTATAATAATTTTTGCTCCAAAAATGTATTAGGGCTTATTTTCAGGGGATATTTTTTTTTTCATGTATAACAATCTACATTTATTCAAATACAGTCATGTCATCTTCTGGTTGCTGCACAATGGTGGAGGGTGGGGTTTCACTTAACTATGGCTTATTTTGGGGGTAGGGCTTATATCACGAGCATCCTGAGAAATCATACTAGGGCTTATTTTCAGGTTAGGTTTTATTTTCAGGGAAACAGGGGACTAATTCCTATACAAGAACCATTGCCTGCAGATGTACAAAGTTTTCTTGTATATTTAAATAAAATCTTTATATGCAAATTCTTATACCAGTGTCAATCCAGGCTTTTCACATATGCTTGATTATTTTCTTTGACTTCACACTGGAGCTGTGCAATCACTAGGTACAGAGGTCAACACCTCAAAACTTTGTATATGTATTTTAAGCAAACAGTTTCTAGCCCTTATGGTTGAAAACCAACTAGAGGTACGTGTATAATGCCTAAAAAACTCTGAACCAAAAAGTGAGGTCGTTAAGCAGAAATCTGATGTTTACACTGGGCAGCAAACATCAGGGCTTCAGTGTTTTCCCCTTTGCTCCCTTTTTGACAAGCAGAAGAGGTTTCAACTTAGGAAGTATATGTGTACATTTGTAGATTACTACTTTTCCACATTGAGAGTGGGGTGGAGGGAGGTGGACCCCTAGAGTATATACAGCTCTGGCCAGGGCCACTCTGGTGATGGTTTTGAGCAGGACATTGATATGGCAGGCAATCTTAGTTCTCCAACTGTAAAATGAAATATGATCAGCCTATCTTTCTAGTGAGTACGTGTATACTTGGGCATGCATGCTGGAGATTAGAATACTATTCTAATGTGGCCACAAAGTGTCCAAGGGAAATTATTATTTATTTCTAGGGGTACAATCTAACCAGAAACATGCACTTTCAAGTGTAATAGTGATCTTCAGCTGAAAGCAATGGAATTTAACTACCAATGTGAACACTCTCAGATAACATAAATGAAATACACAGAGAGATGTGTGTAAATACAAATGCACACATACACTCTTGTACACACAACATTTTTAAATACACACATGTGATAATTTACAAGAGACCATAGTAAAAGAAAGAATTGCTAGATCTGACAAAGTGAGATATCTGCAAATTAAACAATAAAGATGCATGTAAGGTTATGTTTAGCTGGTTAATGCCAATATATATGAGCACAGGGTTATAGGAATGGAGAAGAGATTTACAGCAATGACCATAAAACACTTACTTATGTAATGACTTATGTTTCTCACCTTTTTGATCCCATCATCTACCTCTTCCCCACTCCTCTGTACTCATGTTGAATATGTATGTTTTCAGGATGTCATATAAAACCCTTTATTTCAGGCTTTGCTAGGCTTTCTGCTTCTGTTCATTTTGTACACTTGACAATCGTTGTGTAGCACTGATCAGTTTTATGCCACAATCTCATTAAGCAAGTCCTTGAAAATTCCATTTTAAAGTGGGAGGAACGAGGTTGAATGATCAGCCTAAGGTAAAATAAATGTTGCTTGAGCAGGGAAATTAGATTCTCAGCCTCCCAGGAGCTTTCCAGCCTCATAGTATAGCCTCATGGTTCTCCAGCTGATAGGAGAGGCCATGGTGGTGAAGGCAGAAGAAATTGGGTCTCCTCTTCCTTGGTTTCCTCAACCTTATTCCTACCTTAACTCTGTTGTAGTGGCTACATAGAGTTGGGTTATGGGAATTGTAGCCCTACAATTTTGGAGGGCACCAAGTAAAGAAAGGTTGCTTTATGGACACATTACCATTATGTGTACACTTATTTCCTCCAGTAAGCTCAATGAGGTGCACATGGCTGTCCTGCTTCCCACTTCCAACCTCACAATAACTCAGTGACTGACTGACCCACACACCGCTTCATGGTTCAGTGGGGCCTTGAATCAAGATCCCCTCAGGTTCTCAGTCCAGTCCTTTAATCACTGCAACATACTGCCTTTCACACAACAGATGAGCTTGCTTGCTAACCCATGCCTCTGAACACATGGGAGGTACACCAGAGAGCTATGCATTGCAGCAGATTCACCATGGTCTCTTCCAGGATCATTCCCACTCTTGGACAGAGTGAGGTCACTGCCTTGGATAGTGGATACTTGGGAGCATCAGTGGCAATCTCCTGACTGTTCCTTTTGAGCTTTCTTGTTCTCCTCTGTTAAGGGGACAATGTGATGTTTGCTGCAATGCCTACAGTTGGGACCCCAGAATTAGCCTGTTGCTTCAGGTGTGGTGAACAGCACAATGTTCCCCCCACAATGGGAGGTTCAGGAAGTCGTAATCCGAAAGGCAAGTTTTTCTGAACTCTAAACAAATATTCAGGAATGCAATTCTCCACTCACAGCCATGGGTAGATTAACCACATGGGGGCTGTAGCGGAGCCAGGAGTGGAGGGGGAGGACTGTCGTTCAGTGGCAGAAACTGCTTTGCATTCAGAAGGTCCCACATTCAGTTCCTCACATCTCCAGGGAAACAGATGAGCAGCTAGCTGATGAGGAACGAGGAGCTTTTCTGCCTTAGACCTTGAAGATCAACTATAAGATAGCATAGACGATACAGGCCCAGATGGGAAAATAGTCAATCTGGTATAAGGCACTTTGCTTCATTTTTACATAGACTATGCTGGATGAGCAAACTGGTCCATGATCTATTTATGGTACTATTTATTTATAGTTTATTTATTTATTTTATTTGATTTGATTTGATTTGTATCCCACTCCCATTAGTGTCATAGCACTACTCTGGGCGGGTTACAACTCATAAAATAGAAAACAAAAATGAAAATACTGTACAGATATTAAAACCGATAACAATAACACTAAAAAGAAAAAAACCAGATGGCACCAACTAATCTCAGAGCAGATGGAGGAAAAGAGAGGAGGGAAAAAAGGAGAGGGAAAATGGGGAGGGGTCAGCTGGGGTCAGTGTGGAAAGCCGTGGGGAGAGAAAAAAAGGGAGGAGGAGGTCAGCTGGGGTCTGTGTGGAAAGCCTCCCTGAAAAGCAATGTCTTTAATTGCTTCCTAAAAGTCCACAGGGAGGGGACTAGGGAGAGGCCCTCCAGAAGCTGCTTCCATAAAACTGGAGCCACTGCAAAGAAGCGACTAGGTGGAGCTCTTCCAGAAGCTGCTTCCATAAAGCTGGAGCCACTGCAAAGAAGGCCCTACCTCGTGTAGAGGATTTATGGGCCTACCTCAGGATGGCCACCCAGATGAGCCTCGACTTGGATGACCTTGTGGGTCAGGCAGATGACAACCTCAGGGTTGCCACCCAGATGAGCCTCGACTGGGATAACCTTGTGGGTCAGGCAGATGACATCAAGGAGAGACGGTCTGACACATAACATGGGCCCAAACCATGGAGGGCTTCGTATGTAAGTGTCAAAGCCTTGAACCTGCTCTGGGATGCCAGGATCAGTTCTAGCAACAGGCTAGGCCCTAAACCAAGGTCTATGCAGGATATTTTGCTGGTCCGACACGTAACATGGGCCCAAGCCATGGAGGGCTTTGTATGTAAGTGTCAAAACCTTGAACCTGATCTGGGATGCCAGGATCAGTTCTAGTAACAGGCTAGGCCCCAAACCAAGGTCTATGCAGGATATTTTGCTGCCTGAGGCAAAGACGGTGATATTTCCCCTCCCCAATGCCATTTACAGAAGTTGTTCAGAAGTTTACAGCTGAATCTCATTTCCCTCTGGAAATATAATACTGTTCTGTTGTGTTGGTGGGGAGCTGATGTAGACAACAGCTACGGTTCTTTCAAACTCTATGATCCTACAATTCTTGGCCTTGTCTGCAGGCTAGCAAGCTAGCATAGGACCTTCAGGTCAAGGGATGCCCAGTTTTTTCCGTTAAACGAAGGGAATAACTGGGGATCTGCTGCTGCCGCCACCCCATCTACATCATCCAGCATCGGTCTCTTGAGACAGTGGGCAACAAGGACAGTGGGCATGTTTCTGGGGGATTAAGCCTAATGTTTGGGATGGCCCTGCCCAGCAATCTGCAATGTTATTGGCATTAACATACATACTTTGGAGAGTAAAATAAGCCCACACACAAACACATAACTTGGGAAAGTAATTTTTGAAGACTGTATCCCAGAATCCCCCAGCCAGCAGGTACTCTGCACTTGGCATGTGTTAGTTCATAAACATGGGGGCGGGGGTGGAATTCTGCTCCAAGACGTTTACTAATTGTCAGTTGTCTCGGATAGAAATATTTGGTGAGGAGTAAAAGAAGAGAAAGGCAAGGGAAGCCAGCAAAAGGAAGCGAGGACTATGATGACTAGCCAAGATATTTTGGGAGAAATGTTTTTTAAAACTAAGCAAATTGAGTTCACACCATCTGTCCTACCCATGCTGACAACAGGTTAAAGTATGAAGAAGTGTCCTGGATATTTGTTTTTCCTTCTTTTCCTTGTTCATGACTGTTCCTTCTCTCCCCCACACCTTGCTTTCCTCCCCTCTGGGTAGCCAATGGCGATCAGCTGTAGGTTCCCAGTCATGTCCTCTCCCTTGGCATGCAGGAAATATCCCACAGCCAATTCAGTCCAAATCCGAAAGTGTCAGCACAGCCTTCTCTCTGAGATGTCTAGGGAGGCACGCTTAAAATCCTGGCGTCCCGAGCAATTGCCTGTGGAGGAATAGGACAGACCAAAAAACGAAAACACCCTCACACCAACACCAACCACACCTTTGTTGTGCCACAAGACCAAAAGACTTTGGAGCAGGGATGAAATAGTTTCAAGATGTCTATTCAGACCCAGAATTGTGATGTCAACCAGTCAAATCTCCCACACATGCTATAAGGACAACTTTACAGAAAGAGTAATTTGCAGTAGCTGGGTTGTGAATTTTTAAAGGCAAAAGGGGCAACTGGGAAAAGAGTCTGAAATCCTCCTCCGTTGAAAAGGTATGCGTTGCCCACTTCGCCTCCATAATCTTCTTGTGAGATACTAAGCACAATATAATTTCTTCTCTAGATCCGTCGACGAAGACCAACACCAGCCTTGCTGTTCCAGTTGTCAGAAACTTCATCCCCTGGTGAGTCTTTATTCTTCTTTATTGACCTGGGTGGGAGAAGGTTTGGCCGAGAGTTCAGGAAAGTTACTTTCAGGGACTATAACTCTTAGAATCCCCCCTCAGCACAGACAGTGGGCATGCTGCTGGGGGATTGTAGGAGTTATAGTCCCTGAAAGTAACTTTCCCAATTTTTGGCCATGAGCGATAAGTGCCTCAGTGTGACCCAAGCAAGAAAACAGTACATGAGCATATAAGAACATATGAAGCCACTAACATTGGGTGTCTCAGGCAATACTGTCCCAGCTGTGGGGTTAGAATATCATGTTATATCTTTGGTACCTTTACCTGAAGATGCCAGGGAGCAGATCAATATAGGTAATACACTGCACGGCAGCCACCTTGCTTTGCTAAAAAAATCTATGCATTAATTTCCCCCCCATCTCTCTCCCTCTCTCTCTCTCCTTGAGAGAACTGAGCTGAATCTGTTCTAAATTTATCAGACTTTTTCCCTTTAGGATTTATATAGAACATTGGAAAGTGTCAGTAACACTTAGAACAATCTTGTGTCGTTTGTACCGTAATTCTCCTATTGTAGATGGGACAGAAAAGTGAAGCTGAGAACACTGCAGTGCAAGTGTCTAGCAATTCTTCAAGGAAGAATTGAAATAGAGACTTCCCAGCTGTTATATTATGCTGTCTGTCAAAAATCACCTGAGATTCTCAATGTAATACAATTTTCTGGGAGTCAACCACATTGAACTTAATGGGACTTACTTTTGAATGGGTAAGGGATGCACCATAAGAATGGTGCTGCAATGTCTATATTGAACATAACTAAAGATTCAGAGGTAAAGAATCTCCAGTTTTGTAAGCAAAATACAGACTCAGAAACACAAGTTGGAAGGAACTGATTGGAAAGAAAGAATTACTTGGTTCATTCCTTTTTGCTATAACTAAGGCATAATTAAATTACATTACAAAGAGGAAAGAATTCACTTCTTTAATTTCACTTCTTTAACTATACCTGTGTTAGTTCCTTTTATAGAGACAAGCTGATATGTTGCTTCACTGTTTAGGTGTGTTCAGCATTACAGGCCAGCAGCTTGTAGCATTCATATTTTAAAGCAGGGGTCTCAAACATGTGGCTCGGGGGCCATTTGCAGCCCACCAGATGATAGTTTGTGGCCCCCGCCTTGCCTGCCCCCCGAAGCACCCATGCGTCCTTTGTTGTCAAAATTTTAAAAAAGCCTTCCCTCGCTCGCCATCTCTCTCCCAAGACAGTGCCTCTTGCACCCTCCATCCGGAACTGCAGCCTACCAGCCAGCCCACCTGTCTGCCAGCTGGCAGGCTGCAGTTCCGGATGGAGGGTGCAAGAGGCGCTGTCTTGGGGGAGAGCCAGCGAGTGAGGCGTGCTGCTGGCCCTTTTCCCCTAGCACCCAAGCAAGCGCCCGAGCTGCCGCCGAGCGATTCCTGAGAGCGGAACTCGTTCCTGGTCTGTCCTTGAAGAGTGCCTCCAAGCCGCCAATAGCAGCTGCTGCCACCACCCCTTCCAGGGAAGTGGCTCTCTGGCTCTCTTTCTCTCTCGGCACCCCCAACACCAGCCCGGCCAGCAGCCGCCTCAGCACCTGGTGGTGCTTCCTCTTCCTCGTCGTCCTGCTTCAGCTGCCTCAGCTCTGGAGGCTGCCTGGACTCGCCTCGCAGCTTGCTTCCCTGTCATGGGGGGGGGGGACTGGTTGCTCTTAGGTGGGC